GTGGAGAGAGAAAGGAAATTATAAATAAATAAACAAAAAATGTTATTTGTTGGCCATCTTAAACATTCTTTGTTTAAATTTCTTTATGTCTTTATTTTTCTACTGGAGGTGTGAAAATGCATTTAATATTTAAATTTAGAGTATTTTTTCCCTTCACTAACTATCTGCATTAATAAATGCAAGTACACAAACACATAAGAGCTTCCAACATACCTGCAAGAGCCAACAGTTCAGCATCTTCAATGTAATCTGGGTCCAGGTCTGTCAGTGGTTCTTGTTTCTCTTTGTGCTTCTGGAAAGTAAATGTAAAAATATGACAACTTTATTTTAAAAGGGAAATAAACAGGAAGAGAGTCAATAAAAAAAAAATTAAAATTTTATTTGTAAATTAATTAAAATTAAAATTTAGTTATAATTTAATTAATTGTTAAAATGGAAACTAAATAATTAAATAATAATTAATTAATAATAATAATAATTAATCAATTCAATAAGTAAATAATAATATTTAATATCAATTAATGTTAAATGTAATGTTGGTATTGTAGTAGTACATAGAGGGTAATTACCACGGATGCTGAGAAATAGTGTTGACTATCAATTACTGAAGGGTTGTTCTTATTGGCATTATTCATGTCTTACTTTCAAGCGGTTATCAAGATCAATTTTCACAGCAGGAAATTAGTAGACAAACTCGAGGAGCTGCTTTTATCACTTCAAGTGGGGACAACAAACATCATTCTTCAGTTCTCGTGTTCATCATGTAGCTTCATATGACGGGTAAGATTTGATTTCAAAGTGAACAAATGGTGCACTCATGATCCACATCACCTTCCATTCTCACCTGGAAGGAAAAGGAAGAAAAATTATTAGTCTTAGTATTACACTTAAGGTAACATAATATATTCATCAGTTTGTTTTATAACACGATCATTAAATTCATACATTAAAGTGATGCTGCTTCAGACACCCAATGACCAAGGGGGCTGTACACAACTAAAACTTAAGCCTGGTTCTCACGAGAGCCCTAGTATCCGGATCGGGAGCTAACCGTTAGCACCTGCGTGAGAACGGCCGATTGGTTAGCGCTAATCGTTAGCAGTATCCGGATACTGCTAACGGTTAGCAAGCGCTATCGGTTAGCAAGTTGAGCGCGTTTTTATCATCAACTAATCACACGTACGCGTTTACAATTTCCAGTTTCTTATTGGCCAGTGATTCAATGATCATATTTTTGGTATCCGGATCGGGATTTTCTCGTATGGACGCACGGCAGCTAACGGTTAGCAGGATCTGGATCATGCTAACCGTTAGCTGCCGTGTGAGACATAGCCAGTGTCTTTAGAAACCTCTCATTATTGTTCAGAAAACTTTTCAGAAGTCTACACATTTTGATCTAGTCAGTCAGCATAGACTTTGACCTACTCATTTAATTAATGGCATCATACTCAAACATTAAGGGCATACAGAAAAAAATTATTAGAATATCACTTTTTTTTAAGTGATAAGGGCGGGCTTTTTATATTTTCTCTTTTTAATCAGATCAATAGAATATTGCCTTTTTTTTATCGATGAGAGTGAAACTGTTTTTATTATAGTAAGAATATTGTAAATATTGAATAAAAATTGGTTTAATTTAATTGTTTCTTAAAGAAAATGTATTTACAGTGACAAAATTGCATGTTTTTTTTTTTTATGCTGTTGAAATAAATGATGAGGTAAAATTTTTTTTTTAAATCCACATCAATATTTTCCAAATTTTTGAGGCGGGTAGGAATGATAATCTAAAATTTTTTATATGTGTCCTAATACAGAAATCTTATTATTTGATATACGTAGAAAAATATGTTGAATATGACACACTATTCAGTAAAGTTAACAAGCCTGTAGCCTGGATTTTGAAAGACGGTTCTTAATTTACTGAAAAGGGCACGTGAGCATACAGAGCACCATGGGATGGGCTGCCTAGACTTAAGTAAGACTGAGGGAAATATCCCCTTGTTGTGGGGTACTGGGTGAAGAAGCTCCAGCATTCTTGGTATTTACAGACCATGTTTTATTTTATAGGCCTTAATTAATTAACCTAAAAAAAAAAATGTATAATGGAGGTACCGTACAAGGAAAGACTACTGTGAATCTGGAAACCATATGCTAGGCCCTGCTGGTCCATCTATAATTTTACAACTGCAAAAGTATGACACAAACTGGCCTAGGGGCCTATAGGCCCTCTTAGGGGCCTAGCTAGTAGTAATAGTCTATAGGTAAGTAGTATAGTAGTAATATTATAGGCCCTCCAATGTGAGCCTGATAAGGGAAGCGTTAAAAAATAAAGGCATTGGAAACCGGAATATATAGCTAACCTAGGCCTAATTAATTAGCAAAATAATCTACCCTACTACTAGGTCTAGCCTACTTAGGTAAGTGGGTAGGTAGCCTAGCTAGGCCCTAGGCCTAGTAGAAGTAGTACCAAGTAGTACTGTATGTATAGTAGTAATAAAATAGGCATTTTAGCCTTAGGCCGAGAGCCTAGGCCCCCTATTAGGCCTTCCCTGATTTTCTTACCAGTGATCTTTACAGCATAGCATTCCCGAGTGTGATGCAGCGGAGTGACATCCTCCTAAATGTTTACTTTTGACGAGAAGTTTTGACTGGTTAATCGGGAAAACTTTATCGGAATTGGTAGACCAATTCATCTTCGCGAGTGGTGTGCAGGTCAATCTACTCCACTTTCAGCAGAAAATTGTAAACTTAGGTGACATCATTGCCGCCTACTCAACAGGGCTCACTGATTGGTTTGTTGAGCAGAGACGTCCTATAACTCTGCCCAATTATTGGTCTGTTGGACAGCCGCTCTGCTCAACAGGGCTCAATCATTGGTAGGTTGAGCAAAGTTATTGTACATGTCTGGGTTTTTCTCTGGGCCGGCGCCACAACCCCCTGGATACATCCGTCCGATGAGCGATCCCTGCGATCCACCCCCCCCCCCGGGATGCATCCGTCCGATGAGCGATCCCTGCGATCCACGTGACTGTTCCAAAGAGGCTATTCTGCTTGTTGATTGATAATTTGTGACGGATAAACATTCTCACCAGCCACTCACACACACACACCAACCATGCACCAACATACACTGCACATCCAAACAAACAACTATTTTGCATAGCTTATGCAAAAATTATTCACAATGCCCTGTCCTTGTATATATTTCTCTTACAAAACAATTCATAAGAAATGGATAGAAGACACATACAAAAATATTAATTTAATTTGTGTGTTTTAATACAACGTTATGAAAGACATCAAATTGTATACAGTATAGGCCTATAATATTTGTATATCCAGAGAGTTGTTCTGTCTCAAACATATAATACAATGAAAAGGTTGTTTAGAAAAAATAATTAGATATGAAATAAATAAATAACAATACGAAATATTAAGCATGATGAATAGAAAATAAATATATGGATGAATAAATAAACAAGTACCTACACATCTAGATGTGTATAAGAGACAGTAAACAAGTACCCAACAAAATATGAAGAGAAAATAAAATTAGATATAAAATCAAATATAAAAACGAAGCATTTGTGAATTATTAACTTTATAGATACATTAAAATAATGTACATAAACAAATAAATAATGTTGATAGGAAATAGTAATTAACTATATAAAGGCTGCAATGAACAAATTTATATTTATGTTATAAAATAAAAGCAAATTTAGCTGGCCTGTGTTTCCTGATAATATGGAGGGAAAATCCCTCTCTGTCCCAAAAATCAATATAATTCTACTTATTGATGTTGCTTTAAAAAGCAGCATACACTGAGTTAAAGAATGAGCAAAAAATACCCAATATATTTTCTATTTTAAATGACGAGATATAAAAGTATGTGAACAAGATTAATGTTCCCTGATAATGTAAACATTAAAATGAAGGGAACTAATCCCTCTCCGACCAAAACATCAATGTAAGTAACTATACATTGATTATCTCTCATAAAAATATAAAAACTCCACAGGGTGTGCAATTAAAGCACTAACGGTGATATTGCATTTTTTGAACATATAATGCCCAGCATCATATTTTCTATTCAAAATGAAATAGAAATATAAGTATGAAATCAAATCAAGGTAATGGTGAAAGTAAAACAGCTGGCACGAAATGTTCCCTGATAATGTTAAACTTATATTTGAGGAAAAAGTCCTCTGAAAACATCAATGTAACTATTCAAAAAATATACTATTCATAAAATCTCATAAAAATACAAAATATGCACAGGGTGTGCATTTAAAGCACTCAAGTTGATATTGCTAAAGTCCTGTCTCTTATACACATCTAGATGTGTATAAGAGACAGGACATCAAAGACTGGAAGCTTTACAGTCAGAAAAGGGGGATTTTGAGGGTGAAAAGGTTCTTGAATGGCCAGAATTCCTCTCTATTCCAAAACATCAATTTAACTATCTACCTTGAGGTATATCTCATAAAAGCTTAATGCATCCATTGGGAGTGCATGTGAAGCACAGAAGTTAATATTAGGTAAATAATACACAAAATGCCCCAGCATCATATTCGTACAAATTGCAAAACGGGGATAGATGTTGCTGAAAGTTCATCCACGGATTTTAGTTTCCATTGTTCTTTGTTCTATACAATAGTTTTTCATCAACAACCCTCTTAAAATGATCAAAGTCATCGTACACTTCATCAAATCCAAAGGTCGTGGACCTCCTTGATGTTGGGCAGTAGGTGAAGATTTTTTGTTTGCTATGTTCAGTATTAATTTTTTTTTTTTAAAGTTAACTAATTAAGGCCTATAAAATAAAACATGGTCTGTAAATATCAAGAATGCTGGAGCTTCTTCACCTAGTACCCCACAACAAGGGCTGTCTCTTATACACATCTAGATGTGTATAAGAGACAGGCATCATATTTTCTATTCAAAATGAAATA